CGATAATATAAAATGAGTACGAATGCACAAAGTAGAGTCGTATACGTTGACATAACAGACATAAGATAATTTTTTATTTCGAGCACGCCTGTGCTCTTCCTCAGCGGTAACACGTATGATTAAAAAAGCTTTACAAACTAGCAATAGGGGATAAACAATATATATATATATATATATATATTATTTATTTCATAAGATGTTCATATTATAATTTTCAGTGGGAGCTTTGAAATTATGCTATAAACTTGCATATAATTTTCAATAAGAAAACTGAATATCAGTTCAAAAATTGTATCAATGCTACAAAGAAAACATTTCATTTATAATAAATATACAATTAATTATAAAACATGTGATAGGGTTCAAAGGGTCAATTTAATTTTTGAATATCATCCATCTCATTGCTGTATATTACTACAGACAAAAAGAATATAGTAGAGAATGGAAGAGCTGTGTTCTTACCGATAAGTCGTTTCTGTAGGGATCGGATTAATTCTTGAGCTCTTTGGTTGGACAGCCTCAAGTGCTGGTTTTCTTGCTCAAGCTGAAAGGAAATTGAAAGAAAAACATTGAACTTTTATTTAGATTTCAGCGATATTGATTCCATATGAATCCAGCAATTACTTTCAAGCAAGTTTTGCCACTGGGAATTTTCCTTTCACTCTATCGCCACCTCTTTCTCCTCCCTTTCCTGTAGCTCCTCCCATTTTTCTCCAGATGGTCATGGGTATACCATGGGAATATATAAAGCCTGTCATCGGGATCAATACTGGCGAAGGACCGTGGGGGTATATGCGCCATGTAGCATAAACAATGATTTTAAATTTTGAATATTAAAAAAATAATTCATACTCTCTTCCTTGCACATACCAACCCCACATACTTTTCTCACAAACTCTTTTGAAACATAGAGATATATTAATATCAACATTAAATAAAATAAAAAAAATAAAAGTGTTATCTTAAAGCCAGAATGACATCCATTTTTATATATGCAATCTGAGAAAAAAAAAATGTAAACATCTTTATTATGAACAATATGATGTAAAGTATTGTAAAATTATTAGCATTGTAAACATTTATCATGAACAATATGATGTAAAGTATTGTAAAAGTAATAAACAGAGAATATTGTGGAATCATTGTAACAGAATATAGTGAAATCAATATGGTAGAATTTTAGTGAGGTCATAACAATTGAAAGGCCAAGTCTGATGCATATTCATTTTTCTATCAACATTCAACAATAACTTACATAATTTTGTACACGTGTACTTTAGCCCATCGGTTTAGCATGCAACCATAATGACATTTCTAAATTAATAATTAGTTACATAAAAACACAACTGATATGCAGTCTGTATGTTGCTATTAAGGTCAAAGATATCAAATAGAAAGTTGGCACAAAACTCTGTGAAATTAACTGTGAAACTTCTTCTATATGCTATATTCTGATTCATACAAAATCTTCCTTTTAAAATTAAGTATTATGCCTGTGCTAAAAGTTTCTCCATGATATATTAATATTGTAGGTTAGTGAGCAATGAATTTGCAACATTTCAAGGAAAGTGCCATTAAAAATCCCATAATGCAACAGTAAATTATGTCTTACGACAATTTATCTAATGGTAGGAATGCATACAAGGCAAAATTGTATTAAATTAATCTACTAAATTGATATTATAACAGATGTCTTACAAAATGGTCATTATCTGAATGTCTTCTTTTGTGTAGTTGCAAAAAAAATCATAATCTAATCAAATAACACAGTAATTCAATTATATTGATAAACAATGAAAATTGAATGATTTAATAATTTAATCATTAACACCATCCTAGACAAACACCTAGGCCTACAGCATGTCTTTGTTCTTATGCTATACATAAATATAAAAAAATAGAAAAGGTCATTGGAAAATATCAGCAATTTCTCACAATCCTGATAATCCAGCATCCCTAATAGATGGTGTGGCACGAAAAGTATGCCTGCATTATCAGGTACGCCATCTGCTCGGAGAGAATCAGACATAAAATCAGCGCATCGGCGAATAATCCATTTAATGATGAAATCAACCATGTGACCAGGGTCTTCCCAGTCACTGCTGTTGCACGTTAGTTGGATAAACCAGTACTACTTCCTCCCTGCGTGCTCACCAACTGTCAAGTAAAGGAAACCGTGTGTTGCGAAGCGTACACGTATAATCCGTAATCACACACGTGGTATGTGTAGATAAGCGAGGTAAGCTCTCCTGAGGACTGGATGTGTTTGCAATCAATGTACAACTGCAGACTTTGATTTCAAAGATTGGAAATCTGAATATTAATGCTCTGTCCATAGATTCTAATCAGGGGTGCAAATTTATACCCTAAATTCCACCTCATGAAATGAAAGTAATTCTTCTAATGACGAGTTAGAAGCTCTCCTACACAGTGCATGATTAGAGATGGCTGTAAACCTGTTGAATCAATAGCTCTTAATTAATTATGATATAAAACATTATCGTTATCAGCACAGGACATTAAATTGTAGGTTGAAGATGAGAAAAAGACGTTATCGCCTGTTATCGCCTAAATATGACAATTGGACAGAATAAAAAAAATTTACATTTCGGTTAAATGCCTTAGCACTTTTGATCATAGTTTATAAATATGGAATTTATGCTTTAATGTTAATAAATTTGTTTTGTTTATTATCCCTATGGTCAATTCATCAAAAGTGTTTATAAACTGTTTGAATAATGATAATAATATATAGTTGAATGTTGACAATTTTGGACTTTTCACTCAAGTATCAGTGTTGATTGCTATGATCACAGACAACAATGGTACATAGTTTGCCATCCAGGGTGACTTTAACTTCCTCGTAAATATGGAATGAAAGCCATGATACAATTTGGGATACCTATTGTTTACCATTTCACATCATCATATTTCGTGCTCTGGACAAAACATCTGGAATTCTCTCCAGCCATTTTCCGGTCAATATTGCCTCAGATAATTCATATGGTCTGAACAGTTTAAATTATATGAAAGAATTACACAGAAAACACGAAACTTGAATGGCCTCTACAAGGCTTGTCTCTCTCCACCCATGCAGATGATAAGTGGGTAACTGGTGCAGTAGGATGCAAATGTTCTATGTTGAATGCTATTATGTGATTCATAATAATGTGATGCTATGATGCAAGCCAAATGTTCTTAGCACTTCCATTTTATTTGGCATTTGAAAAATAATACTGAAATTGAATTGAATAAAATTTTGTCCTACACCTAAATTTTGTACATTGTTAGGAATACTTCCCTGGAAATGAAACAGGATATACTTTGTGTTATAGTTATTCCTACTATTGTCCATGGCAAGGACACTAATGTGAAGCATTTTGCTAACATTAAATATGTTTAATAATGATGTAATCAATAAAAAGCAGAGGAAATAATGTTATTGATCACTTTAAATATTTTAATCAGTCATACCACAGATTTTCTGCTGATCTTAGTGTAACCTACAATCAGAAACACAAGGATGGGGTTTATAGCCGGGGATAGTTTCTTCCTTGATTGTTGTTAACCATCATGTTTTTATTCAGGCCCTTGTAATGCTATTTCAACGTAATCTTACGTTTTCAATGATAAAATAAATACTGTATGAATTTTATTGCTGTAAATTAGGAAGCATTATCTTTCACATGGTGCATAAAAAACTACAGAAAATTTTTACTATAAAGACACTATTAATATATGACCTTATAGACTCCAACCATGACATCACTATTAAACACTTTATAGTGAATACTGTATATAGAAATTAATACTAAACATTATATGTTCAATACATTTATAATTGCATAAATGCTATCGGAAATTAAATTAATACCATCTCTGATATTCAGCTTCTAATGTTTCATAAGAAGCTGAGAAAACTGTTTACATCATAAAAATTACATAAAACCTGATGTCTTCATGTTGTATGACTAGTGTGGAAATCTATTCTGACGTATGAAGTTTATTTTTGGTTGTCAGGGTGGGTATATTTCCTTAGCGATGATGGGCGTCTGTGACAACTACAAACTTCAATTAATCGCAAGCTTCCTTCCATCAGGCCAAAAATACATGGCCTAATTTTCCAGGTTTTCTTTCTCATTTTAAATATGGATTTTTTATCTAGTGCTGCGGTAAAAAATTTCGTAACAAGAGGAAAAACGAAAGGCCATTGACGTAACAAAATTGTCAAACAAATACAGTGATGGTCACTTTCTTTCTTTCAAACCCACTCTCTGAAAGCATTGGCATATTTTAACTCTATAAATATTATATCTTTTTTATGAAAACGGAACTCTATAATGAAACAATACGTTAGTGTATGTCATTTAATAGAAAAAGAGCGAGAAATGCACACATCTATCAGAGAGTCATTCTTGTAATTTGTGGTTTTCTACATATTTAATATCAGTGAGGTATTTATCCCTCCGGAAATAAATACTAGTGGCAATTTAGAAGGACATCCCCGATATCTCTCAAAACTCTATGCTAACCTTGTATTGAATATTCTATTATTATTTATTATTATTGTAATGTGTCTGTAATTGAATACAATTATTTTGGAGAAAAATAAATTAAATCATATCAAACCCATATTTCTCAATACCTAATATTGTTGCTATATTTGTATGTCAGATATGTGTTACAGAATTGTATACCATTTTTCATGTTTAAAAATCATGTCATGTCATCATGTTTAAAAATAATATTAATAATTATAATAATAATAAATTATTCATAAAGCATCAATATCACTGAACTGGAGTATCTTTATATGTTAAAAGGTGTGTTTTAAGTTTGGTCTTGAAAATAGCAATTGTGTGTGATTTGGCAATATTATGATTAGAGAGGGAGTTCCAAAGAGTGGCAGCTTAAAATAAAAATGATCTGTGGATGTATGATTTAATGTGAAACAATTAGCAAATTAAGTTTGGAAGATCAAAAGCAGGCTTAGGGGACATATTTAGGAAAAGGCGATCAAGTATAATAAGTGACTGTCTCATAATAGTACTTAATACGAAATGATTATTTAAAAAAATTAAACAACCGATGTAAATAGGAGAAATATTATTCTACTTTTAAAAAAAAGGACAGAGGACTGCTGCATTTTTGTAGATATATCAATAATTGCACTGGCATATATGCTATTTAAATTTTCATAAAATATCTTCTATACTTAACATCATCAAACACCATCGTTTTAGAGTCAAACAGTCAGGGACGGTGCACATGCTAACAGGTTGGTCCTGTCAAATACTCAGCTAGATTTCAGGAGGTCTGGATCTTTTATTCTTGGCAAGTGTTTTTGCCAGTCACATAACATTCTTTAAAAAAATACTATATTTGTAGCAACCTTCGTGGGTTAGCACTTTAATGCAGAGAACAAGGCCTAGGCCACATATGTTGAGGCAACAAATGGGGAAGGATTAGAAAATGCAAAAGGTTAATTTGGTAATATTTTTTAAAAGAGGATTATAAATTATATAAGTTGGAAAGACATAAGGC